TATTTCTTGGCCGGGACCGTTGAGTTCCTGAAGTCTTTAAAATCGTTTAAATACAAAATCCCTCTTTGTGTTTTCGATAGACTTTATTCCCAGTCGGAGGACATGTTTTGGTATTTTCATGCAGATCTGTTGCCGGGACACAAATAAACCTACAAACTACTGGAACGGAGATGCAATCCAATAGCTCTCTCAACATACACGTAGGCATGCGAGTATCGTTTTAAGACAGGCAGAAAACAATGCTATTATTTAATAACCCCTAGTAGAAATACAAAGTCTTCTGAACATGCTTTCATAAACTGCTCTTTCTATGCTTTCAGAAACTGCCAGCATGAGTTCATCACCGCTCACAGATTACAGCCGTAGCTCCATGGAAATGAAGTTCCAGTAACTGAGAATTACATACAGTACTGTAAACACCATAAAGTTTTGTTTTTGTTTTCTCTTGCTCAACAGGACTCTCTGCCTCCCTCTCCATTTTTCAAAAAAGCTTGGAAGTTGGTTGAATCTCTTTTTAAAAGCCTCCATGGGACAAAACTAAATTCCCATCCCCAGCAGAGAAGCCGCGCTCATAGCCGGGCAGTCCGACCCGTGTTCAACTCTGGTCAGAAGGAGGGTCACAAAGCCGTGCCGAATGACGCACGCTGACCCATTTAGATGGACCGCCGGTGCAGGTTTAACCTGTCTTGACTGCGACGGTCTCAAAGTGGTCCGTGTGATGTAGAGAGGGCATTTCCCCCTCTATGGCTTTCGTCACTGGAAGGTGAAGCTGTGTTTAGTGTGCCTTAAAAAACAATCGCAACAAACAACAAAGCACGTAGGCAAAGGGAACTTTGACCTGGAAAGCTTTCTCTTCTCCTGCTCGTGTGTGTGTGTGTGTTTTCGTGTGTGTCAGTTGTGCAAGCACAGTGCTGGCCGGTGTCTGTGAGGCTGCACACGGTGTGCCAGGCCTCGGCAACAGACAGAGCCTTATCTAAACAGGAGATCGAGTGTTTGCTCCCATCCCCTCTTTCTCTCATCTGTGAATATTACCCGTACTTCCTTTCTATCTGTCCCTTTTCTCTCCCGTAACCTCTCCTTTGTTAAAGTCCTCGGTCTTGTGTGCTTACTTTCCAACCAGCAGTCTGCCTTTGTGTTTGTCTACTATACCTCCGTCTCTCTTCTGTAAATAGAGCTTGTCTATACGTTCAGTCTTCTTGCTTCCTTTTTATTCATTCTCTATTTGTTTTTAAATTTGAACACCATTTAAAAAGGTCCCACTGACAAAACAAAACACCCGTCCTTACGTTAAAATGCCTTTATTATTTTTTTAATAATGGGAATAAATTAGATAAGAGATTAAATACTACATTTATCTCAAATCCAAATCAATAAGTTTAAAGACCGCAAAGAGCCAGCGACAGAAAGGAAGTGCCAAACCACGGCGACCAGGGCCAACATTTTCAATATCAAAGTATGATAGCACAAACTTTATTTTTGGTCATTTTACTCATCCTGGATGCATCATGTGCATACATGTGGGTGCAGAAGTTGTACGCCGCATGCCTGCACATCCTGTTAAAGCGGGTGCCAGTTATCTGTGCACGTCACTGATCTCACACCTCACAACCCTCCCCTTCTCTTCTAGAAGTGTTCCTTTTCATGCCAATCTGGTATTTCTACTCCAGTAGCAATCATGTAATATATAAATAATAAACAATTCTTCTCATTCTCTGTTTTCCACGGGGACATCCATGTGGCGGGTCAGCCGCAGAGAGGCACGTGCTGGACGGGTAAGAATCCACCACTCGAATACATTTCAACCGATTCAGGCAACAACAAAAAACACAATGCCCTGTTCTACAACACCACACAGCCCGAATAAAGCAGACTACCAGCGTTGATCGAAATGCACTCTACTGTTTTCTACAGGAAAAGCAAGTAACCGCCAACATTCAATCAGGCAACAGAGCCACAGTGACTGGTGACAGCTTGTAAAAGCTGGGGAAATTGCAGCCTGAATGCACTTGACAAAACCCACTACTGGGCTGACCTCGACTACCTGCACAGCGTTGTAGATATACTGGAGGCACATACACATGAGAATGTTGTGTGCGTCAGATAAACACACACATACAAAACAGAGAAAACAACACTGGGCTGTGAATGTCAGATCTCATACACTCTCCAGGCTGTTTGGATTGCCAACAAGTTACTTAAGGGCCCTGCGCAGTTAAACATGGCTTGTCTTGGTTCACACACACACACACACACACACACACACACACACACACACACACACAGCGCTTTTCCTGCTCGTAAGGAGCATGTGTAGGATCAGAGGAATGCAGGCTCTCCCTCGGCTCTTACCTAAGGCAAATGGAACCCTGTAAAAACACAACAAAAACAAACCCCAGTTTCCACTCACACATTAACTATAATTCCCTAATCTAACGCTCCACCGCCCTGCAAACGCACACACGTGTATATGTGCGTCTAAGTTTGTAAACTGTGAGTTTTCATTTACAGAAGCTCTAATTAACGACCCTACAGTTTCCTCTCACCACCACCACCACCCAGCACGTGTTTCATCGTGTATCCCTGCACAGGCAGGCAAACAACACATAAACTCACTGCTAATAATACTGTTACTACTGCTGTAAGAGCTGCTACACTATTTGTACTTGTAGAATGTAGAACAACACTGATTTGAGAAAAGCATTAAAAGTCGCGGCTGTCGTCTAAAAAGGGTCGATGGAAATGAGGAACCGTGGTTCTCGCCTCCAGTGGGGGACGAGCACTTTAGCGCGCACATATGAAACTCACACGAACACTCGCCCGCATTTAACAAACACTTCATGTGCACATATCTGTACAGCTCATCTGTACACTCGCACTGGCTCGTGCATCATGTTCTAGAAATGTCTCCGTCTTTGAAACGCAGCTCTCGACTAAACTGGAGGCCGTCACGTGACGCAGAGCACGGAGTCATACCCGCTTTCCCCGGACATGAACGCACATGTACGACAGCGCTGTTCGCCGTACCGAGCGCCCGCTTCTGTTAATCGGTCCACATTCTTTCTTTCTTTCTTTCTTTCTTTATTTTTTTAATGGTTTAAAAAGAGGTTTGTGTTTGAAATCAAATCCAGGGCCCGTAGCTGTCAAACATCTCAGAATAACACTCACTTAACGTAGGAGTGAAAACATTGACTGGAGCAGAGAGTGACTTTGCACGAAAAGTGGAAATAGTCAGAAATGTGGTGTGAAATCCGATCGAATGTTCAAGTCAAATGCAAATAATAGGATGAAATTACCACCACTTCTGAAGGAAAGATATTGCCTCAGTTAACGTATAACTCATTATAACCAGCGATGTGTTTTTGCACATTCACTCCAAAAGATGTGATCACTTCTGTCTGAACTGCAATCATCTAAAATCTACTTGGAACTCTCTTAAATTTAGGTATTTTTCATTCATGAAAGAAGTTTTCATAATAGCATTTATTCATAAGTAAAAGTGAAGGATTTCAACATTTATCTTTCCCTTAGGTCAAAAACATTTTCTTTGGTAAATACAGGCCTAGGACTTCACAAATATCAACAACAATGGCTTTTTTTTTCATTTGCCTGACATATGAATTTTGAGCTCTTAATTAATTGTATCAAGTTTTCCAACAATCTTAAGTGCCATCGCTCCTCCTCTGTAATGCTAAAAATGCTTGTTATAACCTCACCGTTTAGACATACTGTACAACTTGTTGGAGAGAAGACATAACCTGCATTACTTTTCCAACAGTGAGTCCTGGCAGAAAATCGAGGAGCCAACATTATATGCTGGCTGCAACAGTCGATGTTAAAGTATAAACACGGCCGAGGTCGTTGTGCTTCGAATGCTGGCCTTTCTGTCAGACACAGAGACAGAAGAGAAAAAAACAACACAAGCTATAATCGCCTTCAAAAAATAATAATCATTCTCTCTGTGTGTCTTACAATAGAAGCCTTTCTCTATGTTTATGGTGGGAGAGGAAAGACCGGCCGGCATACTGGCAGCTGGCTGCAGCGCCGAGCAAACCCGCAGCTCGTTTCCATCAAAAAGGAGAGAAAATCTGTGCAATATTTAACAAACAAGTGTACATTACTGTTTATTCCCGTCCGTCGGCTCTCTCGATCGAACCCCCTTTTTTTACGCCACAATGCCTACCTTTGAGCTCGCAGTTCCCGGACTCAACAATGCAGTTGAGTCATTCCACACATCAAGCAGATCCCGAGCCTACAATTACCGAACACTTGCCCACGACGCTGCAGTCAATGAATGCTAATCAGAGGGAGTCCGCGACCCCTGGCTGCTGATATCAGGAGCAACCCTCCGCATCATAGAAATCATTACACAAACCATTTGCAATGAAAACATCAGTCGTCTCAATTGATTTCTGGGGAGGAAAAAAAAAAAAATCTCCAGCGCATATTATCATTATGTGTCTCAATGGACCACTTTACAATGAGCAGCGTGATGGACTCTGCAAAGGTGCTACACTATCATGTCTGCACAAAACAGTCAGTCAATATGGAGATTTGTCCAATGCTTCCTAGATAAACGTGTATATCCGGCTGGTTAAAACACCTGACACCACCTATACCAAGTGTAATAAAGCCGTGGAGTCGCTTAGTTAGCTGTGGGCTACAACTTGAGCTATTTTTACCCTGTATTATTTTACATTGGGACAAATTGGAACCATTAAAAAGTATGCCAAATTAGCTATTGACAGCTCCTGTTTGCACTGTTCCTATGGAGGTACAGACGACTATCACTGGGTTACTTTGATACTGAAGAAAACTACGGAGCATCTTATTTTCTATGACTTCTAAGAAGATTTATGGACCGTTATGGACGTCAGCGATAATGATATCTTCGCTAAGTGCGAGTCACACTGAATGTAAATATATGAGGGGGAAAAAAAACAAAAAAAAAAAACACGAAAGCTCTCCACTGTTATCATCCATTAAGACACAGATACACTTACTTCTCTGGCAGTGGTTCTGCGACCAGCATCGTCCCCTGAAGTGTCCGTTGATGGTGTTCTGTGGGCAGACGGTCTGGCCTTGGGCCGTGCCGGGACACACGTCTCCACACTCTCGGTCGTTCTTATTGGCCACGATATAGTTGTCCTCCACCGTGTCCAGGATCTTGGACCAATCCAGGGTGGCCAGGTAGCACAGGTCTGGATTCTTCTCGATCCTCACAGCGCCCCGCGTGATATTCATGAGGCTGTGGAGGCCCACCTCCTTCAGCTGCAGCATCTCGTAAATTACAAGAGCGTAGTTGAAGAAGAGGTTGCTTCCGCGGATCACAGTCAGGCTGGGGAAGAGATCGCTCAGGGCCTCCAGGCCGTAGACCCTGAACAGCAGCACATAGTCGGTCACCACTCGCAGCTTTGGGTAGCTGAGGCCCCGGAAGTCATCAGTCTTGGTCTTGAACATGAGCAGAATCTTCAGGTGGCCCTCGATGATGGTGCAGTTCTCCAACGACTGGAGGTTGGTCACATTGTTCCGGATGTCCTTGCTCTGGCAGACTGGAGGGATTAAGAGGGAGGGAGATGTGAGAAACAAATATTAGCCATAAAACAAGTCTTTAGAATAATTCAGCCAGGAATTTTGTTCATGTTTACTACGGTTTTGGTAAGACACCACGGCCTCTCAATATGTATTATTATTCATTAGGAACACATCCCTAGAACTAATGCAATGTAATACAACAGCCCTGAATAAGGGTCAGGTTTTGTTGAAAGTCTTTTAGAGAAGAATAAATTCAACTTTTTTCAATTCATCAAATTGTTCAGTTAATAAAATGTCTATCACGATTTCCTAAAGCTCAGAGTGACACCAATTAATTACAAGGTCATCTCAAGTAAAGCAGCAAATCCACAGAATTGAAGCTGGAATTTACAAATGTTTGGACGTTTATATAATAACTGGATGATTAGCAGACTTTTGTAATAGTAGAAATGAGTGGTTATTTTTCTATTGATTGACCAATTAATGAATCGACTAATCATATGATCATTCATCATAATAATAATAATAATAACAGCACATCACAGTATAAATGTAGAGAAATGTCATTCCTCGACTTCTACAGTAACAGGCCAAACCTGTAGACTGTGTATAGATCATTAAATGAAGGCGAGAGTAGTCTTCGATTTGCAACGGTATCAAAACGACCGGATGTGAACATCAACCGTGAAACCACTAGTGATCTGCACTAAGTGGAGCAGAGCCATTCATGAAACAGGCTCACTGAAGTCCCCTCTACAATCCGACTGGCCGCAAGCGCTCTCTCTCTCTCTCCCTCTCCCTCTCACACACACACACACACACACACACACACACACACACACACACACACACACACACACTCTCTCTCTCTCTCTCTTCTCATTGGCTCCAACATTATTTCTCCAGAGAGGAAATTACTGTATGGCACTGTCTGATCTGAATGAAGCAGACATGAAGGGGTTAAGAGAAATGAAGCCTGGAAGCTAAATGCTTATCCATGCTCATTCATACTCTTTAGCTGCTGAACACTGACACACACACACACAAGCACACATTTGGACCAGTAAATGCACGCGCACACACACACACACACACACAGAGTTACTAAAGGAGATGTACAGAAAGAAAAGGCATGCTGCTGTTGCTTGCTACAAATGATAAGACGCACATTTTCAACGTCTTCCTCAGAAGTTAAAGGAAAATTCTAAAGTGGGAGTCAAGAATCCGTCATAGTTTAAAACAGGTAAAACATTATTTCTGGTTTTGTCATTATATCAGGAAGCGAAACACATTTTATTTGACCTTTTAAAAACAGGTTTACAAAGTTACCAAGAGGACGCAGAGCGAGATGCATGATCTGTTGCCAAAGCAAGCGTCATCTCACGTGAGCAGATTTGCTGTTTAAAGTGGAAGCGTTATGATTGACTGCTTTATGATGCTTGAGCAGGTTGTTAAAATGAGAGGAACATTTGCATAAATGTTGCGGTGTCAACACACCCATTTCCACTCAGTGAACATACTCATTAAAACTACAATGGTTAGTGGGGAGATATCTAACGCTAATTTCTATCGCATGACTTTAAGCTTGCATGTACCGTACCAACAATACGACCAGCCATTACGGCCCAAAACAGATGGTTCTGGTCAATAACCAACACGCGAAAAGATTAGATGTAAATGCAATCTGGTAATGAAACGTGTTTCCACTGCGTAAAACAAAACAGACTTCTCTCAGTCATTTATTTCATTACGATTTCAATACTGAGAGCAATAAAAACCAGATTCATTTGTAAAAACCAAAACAATGAAAAGCAGCCTGAGCTGATGCATGTAGGGTAAAATGAGTCTCCTATCACAGAAGTCATCTAATGGTCTCCATTTAGTCTGCTGCTTTCAAATCAATGATACAGACACGCCTACTAATCACACACTGCGAGGGTCTTGCTACTAATCACACACTGCGAGGGTCTTCCATGCATCTTGGTGGTGTGAACCCCACCTGCTCTCCACCTTTTTCTTATATTCCCCATTTATTATGCTCAATCCTTTGCTGCCACTTTGCACACACACAAAATAATCAATGGCACTACGGCATCTTGAAATAGAAAAAAAAGTCAAAATTGATTGCAGTGGACTAACTTGTTTCCATTGAGTTGATATTGACTGTCCTCATTTCCCAGGTGTAAGCTACCTATTAACTTCTCATTCTGTTAAAGGTCAGCGAGACAAACATGTCAACAATCCAGGTGCAGACTCTGACCAGCAGCACATCGATGGAGTTTGAGTGACTTCTTGAAATGGATAGGAGCCAATAAAGCCTGTAATCACTGCACGGCCAAATAAAACCGTGTTGTTTACTACAACCGCATGTTGGCAGTTGGGGGGAGTTAGGCAAGCGTGGACTGTGGACTGTTAAAAGTCAAACTAAGATATTAATTAAACAGTCAGAAGGTATTTCACCAAGTGTCACTTGTTTGTACCTTAGAAACAAATGTCTGGATCAGAAAAAAGTTACATTTTGATTGAAATATCCATGCAAAGTATCGATGTTTCACAGCATTTGAAGCTTGAGAATGTGTAAATTAGTTCCTGCTTTTTCTGTGAATGTGTCCGATACAGTAAAATAAAAAAGGCTCGACAATGGACTAGTCCGTTTAATCCCAAAAAACATTCAAACTGAAGAGAAATATACACATAATAGCGAGACTGAATGTCTTTTTCAAACGCAGCCGGGCATGTCAATAACAGTCAACTCATTTGACATGGTGACAAAACTTTTAGGATAAAAGAAATTGATATTAAACCGTAGGTATCAACTTTACTCATCTGTACACAGGTGAAGCCATCCTGTTAATTATTCAGTGTTACACCGAGTAGCCAGTAGTCGACTGGACATCCAAATGTGTTTGTGTTTTGTCACATGACCCACTGTCAACTGGAAAGACCTGAACCCGACCTAAACCACAACTGGACAAGCCTAGATAAACAGTCAACAGCTGCGTATAGCAATATGACAGCAGCAGTGCACACGAAGTTCACCAAGATTGTAAAAACGAAATGAAAGTATATCAGAATATTTACAAATACATGAGATATAAGTGATGCAGGACTGTTCTGGACACAGATCCCGGGGTCAGTGACCCCAGATTGGATGAAAAAGTTCCCAAAACAACACAGCAGAGCTTGTCTCTTGATAAGTAGTCCGTCAATATCTCTCTAAACAGAAAGAGCTCTGTAATAAAGTGCCAAAATAGATTACAAATAAAATCTACAATCAAATAAAACTCTTAACGGTACATTTTTCACACAAAATCTACATATTCAACCATTTATTGTCAGACAGCAACAAGTGGACACAAGATCATTGCCGTCCGTCGTTCACCGTGTACTAAAATGACCTCTATCGACCGAAAAACGATCAGAAAACAGTTGTTTGGATAGAAAACATTACATTCAAACGTATCCACGTTGATGTGGACGTGGCCAATGCCAGCTCAACTTTGTACACTTCCGACTGCAGCCGGCTTTACCAGCAGCCAAAAAACAACTCATAAAATAAGACAATAAATCAATTTCGGTTGTTAGGAATCTCATCAGATAAGGCAAGAGTTTGAAACAACAGCTACTCATTCACACAATCTAGCAACGGGCCGCACCCTCTTTATTAGACACATACTGTGTCAGAAACCAAAACACACTTCTTCCGCCACTGTGTGTCAGTCGGTGTTATTCCCGGTGATAAGAGCAACCTTACACCTCTCAGCCCCGCCTGTCTTATCTCCGGGACACATCAAACAGGCCTACAGGCCACCCACTCGCTGTCAGCCTGCAGTACTAACCGGATACCTATTGTGCAACACGGCAGCATAACAAACTACTTTACGCAACAGCAACAGGGCCAGGGTGCAACTCACCTCTGCCCACAGTGATCTTCAAGAAAACACCAAGAGGACACAAACATGACTTTTTCATATTTATCGTACTTTTGAGAAATGTGTTAGTGGAAATGTGGTCTCTCTCTCTCTTCACGCGGCGTGCTTACAGGCTTAGCACGTACAGTATGTCACGTCTGCTGTTGGGGAAGCTTTATTGACACAAAGAAATGTTAGCGGGCCACGAGGGGAAGCTGTACGCGGTGCTGCTGGGAGCTCCCTCCGCAAAATGGAGTCTTGTTTTCGACTGACAGAAAGGAGGGGGGGCGGGGGTTGTGTATATGTGTGTGTGTGTGTGTGTGTGTGTGGGGGGGGGGGGGGGGGGCATCGGGGGGGCAGATGGGGAAGAGTGGAGGAGAAGGAGGGAGAGGAAAGGAGTGGAGGAAGGGTTATGTAGTCTGGGGTTGGCTGCGAGAGCCACTGTGTCTTTAAAATAATGAGCTATCTCCTCCCTCTCTCTCCTCCCAGGTTTAGGAGCAGGGGGACACGGGAGAAGCAAAGAGCGCGAATAGGGAGATTGAATCGGAGGGAAAGGGGGGAAAAAAGGGGGTTAAGGGGGGGGGGGGGGGGGGAAAAAAGGGGGGGGGGGGGGGGGGGAGAGAAATGATGGGAGGGGAGAGAGCGGGGTGAAAGTGTAACCTGAGCCCCGGCAGGAACGCAGGGTGACGTAAGGGACCTATAGGACGGTTGGTGATCACATGCATGAATGGAGGGCCGCTATGGGCCACTGTTACATGAGACACACACACACACACACACACACACACACACTGGAGGGAGAGTTTGCTAACTATTGGCCATAATATCAACAAAAAACTACTCAACAAATCCTAAACAAACTGAGCTCATGACTGGATCTATGGGGGAGAGACAGAGAAAGAGGAAGACACCTGCTGCACCATTTTTCATGTTTTGTCATCTGAAGAAGGAAATTGTAAAACAAAAATCCTTTGACACAAAGACTATACTGTGAGCTGCTGTTTTAAGTTGCATTTGGACATAATCAGAGCTTTGTATAAAAAAAAATACCAAAAAAGTAGACAGGGGCAGGGGGGGGGGGGCTGGTTGGTGGACAATGACCGTGA